ATGTTGAACCATCCCTGAATCCCTGGCATAAAGCCTACTTGATCATAGTGGATGATTTTTCTGATGTGTTCTTGGATTTGATTTGCCATTATTTTTTATTTGCCATTATTTTATTGAGTAATTTCGCATCAATGTTCATGTGGTATATTAGTCTGTAGTTCTCTTTCTTAGTTGTATCTTTGTGTTGCTTGGATAACAAGGTTATTGAAGCCTCATAAAAGGAGTTTGGCAATGACCCTTCTGCTTCTATTGTGCGGAACACTTTGAGGAGAATTGGTATTAGCTGCTCTTTGAATTTCTGGTAGAAATCTGCACCGAAACCATCTGGCCCTGGGCGTGTTTTGGTTGGGAGACTTTTGATGACTGCTTCTGTTTCATTAGGGGTTATAGGTCTATTAAAATTTCTTATCTGTTCTCGATTTGATTTTGGTAAGTCAGATCTATCCAGAAAATTGCCCATTTCCTTTAGATTTTAAAATTTTGAGGAGAGCGGGTTTTCAAAATATGACCTAATGATTCTCTGGATTTCATCAGTGTCTATTGTTATGTCCCCCTTTTCATTTCTGATTTTTCTAATTTTGCATGTTGTTTCTCTGCTGTTTGGTAAGTTTGGATAAAGGTTTGTCTATCTAGTTGATTTTCTCGAAGAACCAACTCTTCATTACATTGATTCTTTGAATTGTTTTCCTAATTTCTATTTTATTGATTTCATCCCTCTATTTGATTATTTCCTGGCATCTACTCCTCCAGGGTGAGTTTGCTTCTTTTTGTTCTAGAGCTTTCTGTTGTGCTGCCAATTCTCTAGTGTGACTATTCTCCAGTTTATGCATGTGGGCACTTAGAGCTATGGACTTTTCTCTTAGCACTGCTTTCAAAGTGTCTCCTGTGTTTGGGTATGCTGTGTCTTCATTCTCATTGAATTCTAGGAAGTCTTTAATTTCTTTTATTTCTTCCTTGACTCAGGAAGGGTGCATGAGTTTGTAGGTCTCCTGCAATTTGTGTTGTTGTTGAATTCTAACTTTAAAGCATGTGGTCTGATAAGATACAGGGGGCTTTTCCTATTTTTTTTTACCTGTTGCAGTTTGATGTGTTGCCAAGTATGTGATCAATTTTTGGGAAGGTTCCATGTGTTGCTGAGAATAAGGTATATTCTTTTATGTTTGGATGGAATGTTCTATAGATGTCTGTTAAATCCAATTGGTTCATAACTTGTTAGTTCCTTTTTTTTTCTTTGTTAAGTTTCTGTCTCATAGTCCTGTCTAGTGGTGAGAGTGGGGTGTTGAAGTCTCCCACTATAAGTGTGTGAGGTTTACTGTATGATTTAAGTATTAGTAATGTTTCTTTTGGAAATGTGGATGCTTTTGTATTTGGGGCATAGATGTTCAGAGACTATGAGACTTCATCTTTATGTATTTCTCCTTTGATGAATATGAAATGCTCTCCTTCATCTCGTTTGATTAATTTTAGTTAAAGTCTAATTTGTTAGATATTAGGATTGATACCCCCGCTTGTTTCATGGGTCCATTTGATTTGAAAATTTTTTCCAAACCCTTAACTTTGAGGTATCATTTGTCTTTGAAGTTGAGGTGTGTTTCCTGTATGCAGCAGAAGGATGCATTCTGTCTTTGTATCCATTCTGTTAGCTTGTGTCTTTTTATAGGCCAGTTAAGACCATTAATCTTGAGGGATATTAATGACCATTGATTGTTCATTCTTGTTTATTTTGGATTTGTTCTTGTTGGTGGTATTGTGGGTGGATCTCCTCCCCTTATTTCTTTTGGCTGTTGGTAAAGTGGGATTATCTATTCCCTATGTTTTTCTGGTTCTAGTTACCTTCCTTTTGTTTAGTTTTCCTTCCAGTACTTTCTGTAGGGCTGGATTAGTGGATATGCATTGTTTAAACCTGGTTTTGTCATGGAATACCTTGTTTTCTCCATGTATAGTGATTTAAAGCTTTGCTGGGTACAGTAGTCTGGGCTGGCAGCAGTGGTTTCTTGGTGTTGGTAGAATATCTATCCAGGACCATCTGGCTTTCAGGGTTTCCATGAAGTCAGGTGTAATTCTGATAGGTTTGCCTTTATAGTTACTTGACCTTTTTCCTTAGCTGCTCTTAATATTCTTTCCTTATTCTGTATGGTTTGGGTTTTGATTATTTTGTGGTAAGGGGACTCTTTTGTGTTTGATTCTATTTGGTGTTCTGTAAGCTTCTTGTACTTTCATTGGCATGTCTTTCTCTTTTGTTCCTTTTTTTATTAGAAAGAAAATTAGTTTGCATGTTAATCCCAGTTCCCTCTCCCTCCCCTCCTCCCCTGGCCCCCCAACTAATGCCCTACCCATCCCATATTCTTTCTGCTCCCCAGGAAGGTTGAGGCCCCCATAGGGGGTCTTCAAAGTCTGTTATATTCTTTGGGATAGGGCCTAGGCCATCCCCCTTATGTCTAGGCTCAGGGAGTATCCCTCCATGTAGGATGGGGCTCCTAAAGTCCATTCCGATGGTAGCGATAAGCACTGATCCACTCCAAGAGGTCCCATATATTTCCCAAAAGTCTCCCCACTGACACCCACATTCAGGGGGGTCTGAATCAGTCCCATGCTAGTTTCCCAGCTATCAGTCTGGGGCCCAAGAGTTTTCCCTTGTTCAGGTCAGCTGTTTCTGTGGGTTTCACTAGCCTGGTCTGGACCCCTTTGCTCACCAGTCCTCTTTCTCTGCATCTGGATTTCAGTTCAGTTCAAGGTTTAGCTGTGGGTGTCTCCTACTTCCACCAGCTGCTGGATGAAGGCTGTATGACAGCATATGAATTAGTCATCAATCTCATTATCAGGAGAGGGCATTTAAGGTAGCCTCTCCTCAGTTGCTTAGATTGTTAGTTGTTGTCATATTTGTAGCTCTCCCAACGTTTCCCTAGTCCCTGATTTCTCTTTAAACTTGTAATGTCTCCCTTTATTATATTATCTCTTATCTTGCTCTCTTCTGTTCTTCCCCCAACTCAACAGATAAACACAGATAAACACAGACAGATAAACACACACATCATGAAGAAATGAGAATATTGCTTAGGTCAAAAAAGGAACCAATGTGAGAGAAGATTGAGTAGAGGGAATTTGGAACCATGCAAGTCATGTGCTCATTCACATGAATACCTTTCATTAAAATATTCTTACATACTTCATGATAATTTGCTTTGTTTTGGTCTAGCTTTTTTTTCCCGATCTTTACAGGCTTGGGGAGACTCATGCATACTTTTGTAAAACATGATGTTGGACCCCTGGAAATCTCAGGCTTCAGGGTCTTAGCCCAGGACCACTGTCACCCAATCACCAGGCGGATTCAAAAGCTTGATGCAAACCGCATGAGGCTTTATTGTTGTTTAATGAGCTAACCTCATGTTAGCTCGGGTCTTTCATACACCCACCATGGCGAATGGCTAGAAAAGACAGCTCGAAGGGGCTGCATAGAGATCTTGTAGGGCAGAGTAAGGGGAATGTCTAGGGGTATGCACAGGCTCAGGATTGGTGTGCCTCCAGGCTTGGAGGGCTTGCCCTGTGTTGATTGGCCAACTGGTTGTTATGGCCCATAGGCCCTCCCAGGTGGTTGCTATGCTCTGCGTGTCATTGTTCTGCACTTGTTCATAAAGCACACCCAGGGTCATAAAGCATAGTGCCACAAGCTAATTTCTGATTGGTTCCTTGCCACAAGGCAGGGATCTGACTTTCTAGTGACTAGGACAAGGTCATGGAAAGCATGTGTTACTGTCATGGCTGACGAAATGGGGAGCTGGTCCCTTCAATGAAAATCATGGTTTTAGATTCCCAGAAAACTCAGGTATCTGGGGTCCCAGGCCACGACCGTAGTCACCCCAATCACCAGGCGGATTCAAGAGCTTGATGCAAACTGCACGAGGCTTTATTGTAATTTAACGAGTTAACCCCATGTTATCTCGGGTCTTTCACCCACCTGCCATGGCGGATGGCTCGCAAAAGACTCTGAGAAGCCACAGGACTGAGATCTTGTAGGGCAGCGGAAGGGGGGGGGCTAGCTCACTATTGGTGTGCCTCCAGCCTTGGAGGGATTGCCCTGTGTTGATTGGCCAACTGGTTGTTATGGCCCATAGGCCCTCCCAGGGTGGTTACTATGCTCTGCGTCATTGCTGTGTGCTTGTCCATAAAGTACACCTAGGGTCGTAAAGCATAGAGCCACCAGATAACTTCTGATTGGTTCCTTGTCATGAGGCAGGCATCTGAATTTCTAGTGACTAAGACAAGGTCACAGAGCATGTGTTCGGCGGTTATGGCTGCCAAAAAGGAAGCTGGTTCCTTCAATACCTATGAACAAAGGTGCTTGTAACTCCAGTTCCCAGAAAACAAGC